GCATATGGAAAGTGGTTAATATGGGCCAATAATTCTTACCAAACTTAAATCACCTCTCAACCTTACATGAAATCGGTACAAATTTATCGAACACGAGTTACTATTAATATGTTTTGGTTATAACTAGATTGACTGGTCAGATCAGATTGATAATTAGATTGACATAAATCTACCTATTCATACCACGACCCATCTAAATATGATTGTACATAATCTATACGTAATATACACCTGAAAAATTATAAATACAAAGACTATATATGAGTATGCTTTGAAACAAACCTTGAATCCATCAACACCTCTAATTTAATTATATAAGCCACGGAATTTCAACACTTTATAAAAACTGTATTCGAGTGGATGCTCTATCAAAAGAGGCTAGGTAGGAGTAACCTTATCTGAAATGGATGGGAGTAATGATTCATTTACTTTGAGGTGGCACATGGGACACTTGTGGGAGAGCACCCACGACTGGGACCATAAGCAATGACGCAAGGACCCAAACCCACATTGAGTAAATAATGCACAAGTGGCTTGATAATTAATAATGTCTTTTTCTTTTATTTTTTGATATCTCAACTGTTTCAATATATTATCATAAAATTTTTTGTATATATACCAAACTAATACTGAACCTTGTGCAATAATTAATACAGATTTTAATACGACTAGTGTCTCCTTTAGTCAAAAGCACTTGGCTTATACACAATTACACTAAAAATTGAGATGTTGGACTTCCTATTCTGTCTGTATTTAAGTTCTTTCTCGACTCTTTCAATTTTTTCCTTCTTTTTTAAGAGTCAAAGAAGACCATATGCACTTCGCAACAAACGTCTTGAATTGTTTAAAAACAAAACATATTATTTCTAAATAATTTTTCAGGAAAAAAAAATATTCGTGTCAGCGCTCATCAACCTGTCTACCCCTTCAAGGAGACATTGGACCACTTTTTTGTTTTTTTTTTAAAAAAGGTAGCCTTGATATAAATTAGGCTCGTAATATAGGGAAATTAAAAATTAATTAGGAAAAGGGTGAAATTAGAATATTAATGGAACATAATAGATTTGATTAAGCACCAGTTCATAAGCATGTGACTTCCAGGGGAGAGAATTAGGGGTGTCAAACGTGTCGAATTAAACGGTTATGTGTCAGATTAAACGAGTGACGGTTAGAAAATATATAAACTCATACACGACACGTTTAATAAACGGGTAAAAAATCTCAACACGAACATGACCCATTTAATAAACGGGTAAAACGACATGACACGACTCGTTTAATCCGTTTAATTTTAAAAAAATTATATTAATAATTTTAATACTCCACATTTTTTTTATTTCAATTTCACTTACCTCAAAAAAGAGAAATTTTTAGTCAAATCTCATAAAAATAAAATTTGAAGGCTTAAAAAAAAAAACAAGAGGTCATTACTTTTTATAGGCAACTCAACCCTCCCCATCTCCCCTCATATTTCAATGTGGGACAAAAACAAAAGACATTGGTATGCCTTTGTCTTTGAAGTGCTCTTCTTCTCCTCTCTTTTATCTTTGAACNCCCTCATATTTCAATGTGGGACAAAAACAAAAGACATTGGTATGCCTTTGTCTTTGAAGTGCTCTTCTTCTCCTCTCTTTTATCTTTGAACTACTGTTTTACTTCTTTTTTTTTTATTAATTTCTTTACTTCTTTTTTTCTTGCTAATTTTTTAAAATAAATTTTAATTTATTATTATATTAATTTTATTTAAACATGTAAACGTGTGATAAATAGTTTGACAGATCTTAACCGGATACAACCAGTTTATTAAACGTGTTTGGCGTGTCAACCCGTTTATCACTCAAACCCGTTAAGATCTCACCTAAAGCCCGCTTAATTTATGTCGATTAAACNTGCAACCCATGTGAGTAGGTATGGTCCACGTCCCACTCCGCTCAAAAGGAATCTTGGTCAAAAATGGTCATTAATAAATGTCCACATTCATCTCTATATTCAAGCCCACGTTGCATTAAATAACTGAATAGACCCATACCATTTTTTTTCTATAGGGGGTGTTTGGCAATGCAACGGTGGATTGGATTGATTTGGATTTGAACTCTAAATCAATCCAATCACATCTTAATAATTTGGATACAATGTTACATAAACACAAATAATTTATGATATTGTAGGTTCCATGAACAAACCATTTTTTTTTTGTTCTAATCTCATAACTTTAATATTAATTTACTATCTTACCCTTAAATCTATCCAAACCTATCTCATATTTAGCTTGAAAAATTCTTGGTTACCACTTTAATATTGAATTGAAAAGTTATGACTCATTAGCTATCGTAAAAAATCAAGTTTTTGCTTTTTATTTTAAACAATTTTTTAAAAGGTGACCACAAATATATTTGACCCACTCAAAATATTATAATGAAATTAATTAACAAAAAATATGACAACCGAATGCAAGAGCCAAAATTACATAAACATTAACATTTTTTTTAAAGAAATCAAAATATATTTCATTTTTTTTAAAAAAAAAAAGCAAATTATTCGGTTCACATTACAAAGTGAAGGGGCTAGCCCTCATTATTACATGTGTTATGGTAATTAATGAGCTCATGTGAGAATGATAAAACATGGCACGTGGCAAAGACATCAGCTGCTCGATGAAAAAGTCTTAGTCGAACAAACCAATGTGTTCGGTGAAGTAATATTGGAGCTCGATCTGTTCCCAACCAAGATCATTAATATGTTCGGCAAGGCAACGAGATAGCTCGGCTTGTACCAAACCGAGTTGATCAATCAGCTCGGCAAACATCGAAAGTGTTTGGCCCTTATTATGTCCAAGCTGTTCGAAATGATAGATAGAAAGATGAAAATTCGCCAATAATTTAGGTATTCAGATAAATGAATCAACGGAATTGAAGATACTAGGAAGAATACCTAGAGAAATATCAACAACTTCCTAAATTGAAACGGAGGATTGAAGGAAGATGTGTCACCTTGAACAAAAAATCATGGGAACCCTAATAGGGTAATGATCTATAAAAATTCAAAAGAACCAAGGTGAAAGGTACGATGAACTCTCCTTGTCTTCTTGCAAGTATCTCAGTTCCATTACTAACTTAAGTATCAGAGTGTCTTCAATCAAAGCACCTTGATATTTGGCAGTTTGTTCGTTTTGCAGAAAGAAAAGACTAGGAAATCAAGTTCAGAAATATTCATTACCAGAAATATCAAATTCAAATTTTTAGTGAGAAGTATCCTTAATTTTTACCTTTTACATTTTGGCGCCGTCTATGGGAAAATTTTCATCATTCGAAACGAAAAGTTACAATGTCAAAACTCATAAGTGCCATTGGATCACTTGTAGGCAGTTTTGCTATGAAAAATTCTGATCCTATACCACTTTCATCTTATAGCAACGATGGGTTGCATATTAACAAAATTCTATCTGGGCCCCACGAGGATAACAAGGTATCCTCAGCAAGTTAAAAACGAACAACGAATCAAAACCATCGTGGAGAAGATCGTGGTGAATCCCTCCATGCCGAGGGAAAAAATCACTCTTTGGCAAAGTTGGTTCAATCCCTGCAAGACTGACTTGATGCTCATGACAAGTTGTTCAAGAAATCCTATGCCAAGGAGAAGAACTTGATAAGGGAAAATGAAAAATTGAAAGCCAGGTTGGAATAGATCACCAAGAAACATAAACGAGGGAGAGACGGTCAACGAGAAAGTTTCGAAAGGAAGCGCGTCAGAACTAGGAATCCTAATGACGATAAGTACCAGCAGAAGAAACCTAGGCTCCAGGAGGAGAATGCCTGGAAGCAGTACATCACTGAGGAACTCAACAACCGCCTTAGACGACACTACAACAAAAATCGTTTTTTGCGACGTTTTTTTTTTCGTTGCGTGTTCGTCACAATAGCCTTGTCATAGAAAGTAATTGGCAACGCAATTTTATTTTCGTCGCAAAAAAAAAAAAAAATTTATGACAAAAAAAAAACATCGCTAAAATCTATTCCCCAGCGTAAAAATGCAAAAAAATAATAATTTAATTAATTTTTAGCGACGTAAACAAATCGTCGCAAATACTTTTTTTAATAAAACAATAATAATTTAATTCATTTTCACGACGTAAAAAAAATCGTCGCAAATAATTTTGTACATAAATAAAAAATGTAGAAAATAATAATTTAATTAATTTTTAACGACATAAAAAAATCGTCGCAAATAATTTTTCATAAATAAAAAATGTAAAAAATAAAATTTTAATTAATTTTTAGCGACGTAAAACAATCGTCCCAAATAATGTTTTAATAAATAAAAATGTAAAAATAATTATTTAATTAATTTTTTGAGACGTAAAAAAATAGTCGCAAATAATTTTTTACATAAATAAAAAATAATTGGATAAATATATTTGCAACGTATAAAAAACGTCGTGAAAAAGATTGATCCTATAATTGTTTGCGACGATTTTTATTCCATCGCAATATTTATTTTTTTTAAAAATAATTCATAAAAAATGATATTTAAATAAAAATTTTCACTTTTTTCTCCAATATTACCTGTGTTCAATAACAAACTAACACAATTAACACATTTCACATATTTTTTATTCAACAACGAAATCAAACTAACATCAAATACCATACTAACAAAAACATAAAATATAATACTTCTATTAAAAGTTATACAAATCATCAAAATATCCAACAACATAATCTACATACAAATTTCCTAAAATATTTTAATGCATAACCAAAAGATAATTCGTAAGTCACTTTAATGTAGAAGTCCAGAATTCATCTGTTACAAAAAAGAAAAAAAAATACAGCATGGGCGACTTTGATAGCTTCCTCTGCAGCAGCAATATCAAAAGTAAGAATGCTTTGATGCTCATAAGGTTTTAGAATGGTTGGTTGGTTGAAGTAGATTCCTAATGGATAAAACATTCGCTAAAAATGATAATATAGTTGAAGATCAATAGAAAGCATAGCATTTTTTTAACTCATTGCTTCAAAGGCAGCTGAATCATTGTCTGCATACTGCCCCATCTTGCCCTGAAAAATGAGATTGTAAACTAAAGTCACAAGAGATATATTACATTTCATAGTGCTTAATAGAGGGAGAAGGAAGAGTATATGACCCAAACCTTTAGCTCATTATACTTTTGTTCAATAGCCTTAAGGTCATCTAGTGCCTCCTCTCATTCATCCTGGCACAATTATGGTAGTCAGATATGGAGAAGGCCCAATACTTCATCCTTACAAATAACCCATAGCTTTACATGAAGGAAGATATGGAAGTCTATGTACTTACAGATTCCTCTCGCCCCTTCTTTAAACCATCAAACTCTTGAACAAGTTCTACAAGCCTCTTCTTACTGCTTTGTAGATCAGATTCAAGTTTTCGATAAACATTCCTCAGCTGTAAAATGAAGTATGTCAATGCTTAAAGAACGTAGACACGAAACCACTCCCACATAATTCAAGGTAGGAAGCGAAACATCTACATTACCTGGTTTCCAGCGCAGCTAGGAAGACTCCAAAAGTATACTTGAATTTTCACCAATTATTAGTGCTATTAGACTCTAAATATGAAAATGGGTGGAGTTTGCGAAATTCACACGTGCAAGCAAAACATTTCATGTTGCAGAGTTTAAAAAAAAGACATCTTATTCCTATATGTTACACCATTGGACAAGTTTTACTCACAGAAGTTCCAGCCATTATGCTCCCCAAGAACACATTCACCAGCATAAAGTAGTAGCATTTTGCTGCTGCCCTCCGCTCTAGTACTGATAATGCTACATAACCCTCAACCTTCGACAAAATCAACAAAACCGTAGGAAGAATGTATAAGAAAATTTTGAGAGCTAGACTAGGAAGGAACCCCTGTAGGAATGACTTGATGAATTTCCTGCATCACATTGCCAGAATTCTTTTTAAAGATGGCCATAGGTTTAGAAAGTAAGAAACGGACTGTACATGCATTGTATTTGCAAATCAAGCAACTATAACAGTCAGGAGAGATGTAGAGAGGGCAAGATATAGCTTTTAATTCAAACAGGAGCTTATTGGTGTGTTGTGAAGTTTGTAGGCTTATTGCTGAATCCTTTCCAAAACATGGTAGAGAGACAAACTTGAATTCTTAGCCGGAAAACAACAATACACTACAAATATAGAAGCGGCATTTTTAACACAAACATAATGATCTCAGGAAGTAATGAATAGAGTGTGCAGGTATTGTATTTGAGAATCAAGAGATTCTAGCAATCAAGAAATGCAGAGAACACAAGATTACACATGTCCTAAAAACAGGAATCTGGTAGAGACGCTTCAATATTTAATTTATAAATCAACTGTACCTATAAAACTGGAAGAATCATTTTTTAACACAACCATAAGGATGTCAGGTGAACACAATATATGAACATATGCATCAACAATAATAGACATAGATTGCATAGGAGAAATGTTAATAAAAAAAACAGCAATGCACGTTCACTTTTCATAATAAATTTGAGAAGAACAAAGAGAAGAAGTTACATGCTAATAAAATCTTGCTTTCTTACAAACGTTCTTTTGAAAGAAAGACATGTTGGGAAAGCAATGTTATAATTCTCTTTTACTTGACTCAGTTTTCTTGAGAATCAATTTCCTGCCCAAGACCAACAACCAAAAGGAGGTAGTGAAACAATTATCGACTGGCCACAGCGCAGACACATTACAGCTGATGCCTCCTCTCAGCTCTCTTCCTACACTTTCTTTTTATTTCAAGTGGTTCAAAAGAGAAGAAAAGAAAAAGTACTCATTGATCGGGGTTCAGCGGTTGAGGAATTGAAATCATAGATGGACTGAAGCTGAAAACTGCAATACCAGTCTGGTCTAATGAAATAAAAGAGTTGAAGGACATTGGGTTGTGCTTTGGGAATTCTGCTGCTTTACAAGTGTTTGAACATATTCCTATATTGAGTTATGTAGATTCCCTTTCTGAAACTTGAGGCTCATGCTCATTGAGCCTTTTATACTGAGAAATTGGTTGTTTCACACCACTTGTCCAAGTATTTTACGGTTNCTGAGAAATTGGTTGTTTCACACCACTTGCCCAAGTATTTTACGGTTAAGACACAGATGTCTCGTGTACAGGTGATGTATTAATCTNATAATTCTCTTTTACTTGACTCAGTTTTCTTGAGAATCAATTTCCTGCCCAAGACTAACAACCAAAAGGAGGTAGTGAAACGATTATCGACTGGCCACAGCGCAGACACATTACAGCTGATGCCTCTTCTCAGCTCTCTTTCNTAACAACCAAAAGGAGGTAGTGAAACGATTATCGACTGGCCACAGCGCAGACACATTACAGCTGATGCCTCTTCTCAGCTCTCTTTCTACACATTCTTTTTATTTCAAGTGGTTCAAAAGAGAAGAAAAGAAAAAGTACTCGCTGATCGGGTTCAGCGGTTGAGGATTTGAAATCATAGATGGACTGAAGCTGAAAATTGCAATACCATGCCAGTCTGGTCTAATCAAATAAAAGAGTTGAAGGACATTGGGTTGTGCTTTGGGAATTCTGCTGCTTTACAAGGGTTTGAACATATTCCTATATTGAGTTATGTAGGTTCCCTTTCTGAAACTTGAGGCTCATGCTCATTGAGCCTTTTATATTGAGAAATTGGTTGTTTCACACCACTTGTCCAAGTATTTTACAGTTAAGACACAGATGTCTTGTGTACAGGTGATGTATTAATCTATAGGATACCCCACTTTCACAAGTCACTGCCTAATAGAAGTTTCCACTGAGTAGTTCTTAATTATAATTGTTTTATTGATATTAACCTCTTCAACATCACTTAGCAGCTAGATCAGAGTAGTAAATCATTCTCATCAGAAATGTGGTTGTGATTGTGATCATCTCAACAGTGATTGACCACAAGAAATAAGTGAAGGCAACAATCTCATGAGTGATGTAGTGTCCCAGAGGCACAAATCAAATCACAATGTGATACATTATCAGATAACATAAATATACATGAAATTCAACTAATGATGTATTTCGCATTAAGTAGTAAATGAAATTGAGTTATAATACCAATTTGACTTGGAACAAATGAAAGTTTACTTACAATTCAATCACTGGCTTGAGAAAAGGTGCAACCTTTTCAAGACCCTCCAGATTTGCAAGGGATTGCACGAAAGCAATGGGTATCATGTAAAAAAACACCAATGCAAACACCAATAATGAAATCACAAGCTTCCGACTGCTAAGAGAAACAAACGGTATAGACAGGTTCTTCTAGTATACATCCCGGGGTTCTGGGGCCCAATTTGTTAGCTAGAGAGTCGGATTCTGGCTTTGTTGTGTCTGTCCAGAAACGGCAGCCCCCCATTGAGAATTAAATGATACAAAGACAGCTGAAATTATAGATTTCGAGTCTTTGAGAATTCTCTGGCGCTCCATCGTCAACTAAGGAACAATGCAAGGACAAAGACTAATTAGTTACATAAACTCACAAGAAATTTTGAGTATCATATTAGTGAAAGGATAAGTTCGATGCTTTGAAGGAAAGAAAAAAACTCAACCCGAAGAGATTAGCAGCCACAGGAAAATGGATAACTACTGAACAAATAATAACTAATGAGTATCAAACATAATTAAGATTAAGTAGGAGCCACAACTCACCCTTTTATCAAGTTCTTTAATCTGTTGTTTATAGAAGTCGATAGAATCAACTCTTTCACCCCAAAGCCCAAGGAAGCCTTTTTGAACATGGAGACAATTACAAAGGATTAAAAAGGAATATTCTATTGCATCTTAAGCGGCTTATGAAAAGGTCCATGCGTGGGTGTCATCGATATATCTTGTTTGTATAATTTCAGTGCATAAAAGAAGCTACCTTTTTGGTGGGCCTTTTGTCTGGATGTCTTTCTAACTTAAGTTGGTTGTAGTCCAACCAATTTTGGTGCCTATTTCTTTTTGTAACGAGTTTTACAAACTTGTTTGCATTGTAGACAGCCTAAATAAAGACAAAGATAACATAACTACATAATAAAAGCATAGTAGTACCCCAGAAAGGACAATGGATATAAACATCATGTACAACTTGTTCAAAGAGTTACAAGGAAGTAATCTAATTTAGTGTGAGAGTCTGCACAAACTCTAAATTTAAAAATTGAATCCATTGAATTGTTGGGATTTCTCACGATTTAAATCCACTAACAAACACACACAATCGAAGAACAAATCAAGAATATAAAGCAATAAGAAGCAAGAAAGAACAAGATACAGATTTTACGTGGTTCGGCAATTTGCCTACGTCCACGAAGCTGCAGGGATTTCACTATTGAGAGAGTTGAATACAGAGAGCGGTTGTACCATCCACAACATTATTTCGGGTCGGGTCATCATCCGGATCACATATACAAACTAGACTCCATAAATATAAACCAACATGAATCACACAGGTAACTGCAGAAAGGGATTATGGTCAGATACTTACTGCTGTCAATTGAAAGACAAGAAACTAAGCTCAGGAAAGAAAATTCAATAGAAGATCCATATTACCTAGTGACAAAGGTAGTGATCTGGGTGGTTTGTTTGAAAGAAGTGTTCGAGACCATCTGATATTGAGTGCCCAGAAACATGTGGCACACTCCTGACTAGTACCTGAATAAACATGCATGAAAAGATTATGCTACATAAGAACTGGAAAAACTTGTCAAACTCCAACAAATATATAGAACATTTAATTTAGTAAAAAGAAGAGTATTCCATAATGGAGTCTTCATTGAATAAATGATAAACAATGTCCACATGTACCCATTTTTTTTCTAGCCATTCCTATGAGACTTTGGATCACAAAGGTGGGAAACTAGTCTTTTGTTAGAGATCGAAGACACACCAAATTAAGAGCAACATCCTTCTGAACATAGCTTCCTTTGAGGGATCTCCTTCGGTGCAAGTATAGAAGTGAGAAATGGATGTAAAAAGAGTTGGTTTGTGAAGGAAAAAAAAGAAAGAATGAATGAATGCAGAAAAGGAGACGAAATGATGCGATGATAAGAATATACTAAGGGTCCCTCCTAATATTCTTATACTTAAAACGAGTGAACAGTAAGATCTTATTATAGCCAAAACCATTACATATATTTCCCACAATATCATAAGCATTACAGAATTCCTTATTCCTGACATCCCATTAAGTCGATGTACACGTCATATATACCCAGTGTGCCTAAACTAGTGTCAAAGTTGGACCAAAAACTTCCTGAGTTAAACAATCTACAAGATGACGACAAAATGCCTTTTCCTAGAAATTATATAAGTTTCTAAGTATCTTGTATGCTCCTTCCTACTGTATCTTCCTGGATGCATGCACTATCTATCTCTGTGAACCATGGGTTATATCAAGACAGGTGTAAGACTAACACAACGAATTTTTCCTATCACTCTATGGTATTGGTATCCTCACATCTACTCTTGAAGATAAACCCAAAACACAATAGCAATGAATTTGTCAACAAGAAGTATCTAGAAGCCTCGAACCAAGCACACATGTCTTCTTCAACAGATACAACCTATATTTTATCTGGCAAACAAAGATACAATAACCAGGCATTCCAACCTCAACTCCAACAGATAATCTTATGTGTCCAAATCCTTGATCCAAAATTCCTTGGGTATTTGCGTTTTCAACATCCCCAGCTAGTCACGCCTTGTATATCAATGAGTAGTATACTTGATGAATTTCAACAAACACAACCCAGGGTATAACTTGTTCTGACTACATTTGGTTTTTTGTTCACAAACCATCCTAGGATAGCAATATCATAGTCCCACTACTATCACATTTCAAAGGTAGATTAACAAATTGATAGTAAAAACATCAGGGAGTTCTCAAAGAAAACAATGCCAAAATTGCTTTCTTATGAGGGAGGCTACTTTATCCAATTTATATGGTTATTGCATCTTGTTCTTCTCAACATCCAAAAACTTCAGCTGAAACTCATCCAAACACAAGATGCATATTGATATCAGTAATATAATGGATTGGATGATGATGCTGGATCAATTAGTGCAGCTGAGGGATGTTTTTGGCTTAAAAGACTAGGCAGTATGCTGACTGTCTAGTAGTATTTTTTTGTAGCTGGACAGAAGGGTTTGACAGACTGCTTCTGTTTCAGTGTTTTGGGGTATGAGTAGCAATTGGTTAGTGTGGTTTTGGTTGTGGTGTTTAGAGAGGGTTGACTGTTGGCCTGGAGCTAGTATGCATGGACCAGGTGGACTGACTGCTTTGGTCTGTTCAGATTGGGATAGGGGTTTCAGTAGCTGATCTAGTAATACAGTAAAATTGGTTTGATCCTCTTGAAGGATTAAAGCCAACTTAGTTATTTTTTGCAAATTTTTTGAGTGGTGCTATGAAGCAGTGATGTTGTGCAGTATCAGTCCCAGACATGTTCGACACCGACACTCTGCTCAAAATGAAGTGTATGTGCTTCCTAGATTCCAAGTGTAACATCGGAATTTGAATTGCACATCTGGGCCCATAAAAATCCTCACACACCTGCAATTGCATAATGAATATGTTGTATATTTTAACATACTGCATGTTATAATAATCCCCAAAGTTAAGGGCAGCAACCTGTGGACATCAACAAACTCAACAATAAATATTCAACCAGTTGAAGATCAAAATACAGTACCCAGAATTTCTTTGGTTAAAAAAAAAATATGACAGACCTCTGTCAAACACTAGAGGGTGAGATTCATGTACGCTGGCAAAGGGAAATATTTTAGCAGCGTTTCCAGCTGCACAAGACAAGGTTGAGAGGTGGAAGATATATTTAAGCAAAAGTCTACTTCACTCGATAGTATAAGTTAACAAAAATGTTCTTCAGTTGAACAATGAACACCTATATTGCTAAAATAATGTACAAACCAGTGGAGATTCAAAAATGTAGCCCAGAGGAATCCATGAAAAGAAAGCATGCAATGTGGCCAGTGTAGCCCTGATAAGCTCAAGTCTTTGAGATGCTGACAGTACGTATAAGCATAACTCATGAATGAGTTGAAACTCGCTGCAAAAAAATAGCAAACTTCTTAGAAACTAATAAATGTCAATAATATATGGTTGAGAAAATAATATTAACTAAATGTAGAAAGGCACCGTAAACAAGGTACTTGCACGGAGGGAAGAACTACTCAAATACAAGTGGTCATGCCAATTCTAAATAAACAACCAAAAAGCAAGGGCAGAACTTCAGAAAACATTAGAAATGAGTAACAATCCCTGCGAATGCAGAATCACATAGTTTTATTTTTTTTAGGCCTTAATGTTAATCATGTGTCTGTTCTCAAATACGGAATTTGCATCACCCAAATGTTCCCTAGTCGTATGAGCTTTCCTCCAGTGACATCAGCTTTTGCAGTAGATGGGTAGCGATAGAAGCTAGAGAAGCAAGAAGTAAATAAGAAGATAGAGTCCACAACATCACCAAGTACAACAAAATCACATGTTTAATGATTGTTTAAGCTCTTTGATCTTTTGTTGAGTCATTTCACCCTGCGAGAAATCGAAAACCTCTTCACTTTGAAGCTGAAAATTGACACTTTTAAGTTAATCACCTTTGCTTATAATCAAATTTCATGAAAACGAGAAAACATAAATCAGACTTACTTTCAATATGGCCATACAATTCTCACACTGCACCAAACCAACTAATAATTTAAAACGAAATGAACAGAAAATATAAACACTACACTTCTTGTCTGGACCGTAGAAATCCATAGCGATCAGTATTTTTTACATTTTCAATCTCATCAACAATAGGCATATATTTTCAATTCAATCTCCTTTCATCAATCTTTTGCAGCTAGTTACAGACTTTATGTCGTAGAATAAAGTGATTTCTTTGAGTTTCAAAGACATGTCAGATACAAGGTTTGTCAAGAGAGCAACTATGATGCACAAAAATATGCCTTGCAACCTTTTAACAAGATAAAATCCATTGAACACAATAAATTTCAAACAAGATTCGAATAATAGTTAAAGAACTCAAGTAAAAAACCTATATATACACATTCCACTTCAAAGGAGAAAAGGTAGCATAATCCTTCATAAACTCGTTTTGTACCAACAAGAACCAGGAAATCTGCCTAAGCAATGTTACAATGATACATGGGGAAACAAAGGTAAGTTAATTTCATGGGTGGGTAAGCTAATTTCACAAGACCCAATTAATCTGCACAAGCATAGGGAATTCTGAAATGGTCATTTGTTAATTTAAATCAATGGTCATTCGTTAGCAACTTGAATTAAAATGATTGCATATAATGATGCGATTGACACACAAGCATGTTGTTGTCACCATTGCAAGGTAACATACAAATGTCTAAATCTTTCATAACCTTTGGGAATAATGATGAAGATAAAGGGTATTAATTTTACATCCCACCGAGGTATTAAAGGTGAAGATGTTTCCCCATTCCAATTCTTTTTTTTTTCTTATTAAATTCTTCCCACCATATTCTTCAAATGAGATTCTTAGTAAATAAATAGGAAGCATACAGACCTGTTGCAAGTAGTATTTGTCATTTGACCAACTAACAGGAGGCATTTCTAGAGATTGCTATCCATATCTGCTGGTAAACCTCTTTGGCAACCTTTTGACAACTTCATCGCTTAGTGAATCAATGAAGTGTCTTACATCAAAAATGTCCTCAAAGTTGCTGCACATGGATTACCACAAGTTGGTTTGAATAAGTGAATAAAGGTTGAGAGAAAGTCACTACTTAACAATAATTATACCTAGGATCAGCCCAGAAGGATCTCTTATCCAGGTCTGGAACAACCAAAGTAAGATTTAAAAGCCGAGCAACTATGACCATGTAACAAATCTGAAATGCCAAACAGGCTACGTCAATGTAAATATAAGAAAACCTCACAAAAGAGAGCAAAAACAACATACAAAAGGGTATCGAAGAACTGCTATAGCCCACTTCTGAAAAGCACTTGTTCCCATACATGCATTAGTTTCAATACAAGTGGAGAACAATTGTTTCCATACCTTGTCATCTTTCGCATCGAGTTTCTTGATGTTTTGCTTCATGTGCTTTAAATCTTCACAGTATTTAACATCCTGTTTTTCTAACTCCTTCAAACAATTCAACACTTACACCATATAACCAAACAATTAACACTTAACATAAAAAACCCCTTAAACGGCAAACCCCTTAAATCATATATTAAAACAACAATCACACATCAAAACAAGATGGAATCATACAATATTTAAATACATAACAAAAAGATAATTCGTCAACCACTTTAATGCAAAAGTTCATAATTCATCTGTTATAAAAAAGGAAAAAAATACATTAATAAATTATCAATCAAATTTTTCAAAAACACTAAAGTGTTGAACTTAAAACGATAGTAAAAAGATACTAACTAAGACTCGGGTGGCATGTCTGCATTAGTTGAGTTGCCCTGTAAAGCACGTTGCAGTTGAAGTTGCATCTACAAAAGTTGTTGCATCATCTGTTGCTGCGTGTCTTCAAACTTTTGTTGCACGCCTTCAAGCTTCTCTTTCGTTTCATCACATTCCTTATGAAGAGTATCAACAGTTGTTTGCAACTCTTTTATCATATCAGTTTGTTCTCGATACTCAGCAGTGCATCTGAATCACTGACTAGAGGATGAAGGTTTTGGGCCATGTCCAAATCCTTTCTTATATCTAGGTCGGCTGCCAAGGACTGTGCCTGCAATTTCATCATGTGTCAATGGCTCTACACCCTCTTCTAAGTTCTGTGTGGCCAATTCTTTCATCCGCTCCTACAATTTAATATATTTTAACCCAATTATTGAGTGTATCATAAAAAATTATTTAAAAAAAATAATAATAATTTTCTACAATTTGAAATACTTACATATCTTGACTTTATCTCATCAAAAACCCACTCACCCTTCTTGTTCACATGAGAATCGTGAAAAAAAACAACAATGTGGGGTGGCTCATTAGTCGTAGGATCCCTCTGTTACAGTTAATCAAAATATCAATATTCAAATTTATGAATTTACTATATATTAAAATTTAGAAAGCAAATGCTAAAGTGTAACACCCTTTCATATAGGGCAGACTAAAAAGACTTTGAATCCATCGAGTGGTTGTATGGCAGTTTGGCACAATTTACCACATTTTTCTTAGATTTTGCCTATATACAAATAATATAATTAGTACATAATTAGGAATAAAAAGTGGATATTAATTCGCATAGCTTATAAAAGTTACTTGAAATTTTGGATCCTTGTAAAGTGTTTCAATTATGTACTCCCAATCCTCCTGACTCACATCACCATATGGCTTACTCTTTGGGTCAACACCGGACTCAACCAAATCCTTGTAGTGCATATGCATATAGTATAGGTGGTCTTTGTACCTCGCAGCAAATTTTTTGTCAACGGCATTCCTAACACCAACTTTTTCACAATAGTCTCGAATGTTAAATTTTGTCTACAACAAAATATAAATGTACAAATTAATTACAACATGTTGTAACACTCTACACAAGTAAATATATTTTGGAAACCAAACAAATATATCCACTAACCAACAAACGTGCAATCAGTGGCGCCTTCTCCTCTTCAATTATTTGCTTCCATTTGTGGACATTTCTGATAAAGGCAAACGTCCTTGCCAGGGAGCCAATCTCTATCATCACTTTCGAAGAATGTACACCAACTAGAACGCCAACTCCATCAGGAATCAACACATCTAGCGGGCTGTGAGCTGCACAAAAACGCTCAGCATTTTTTCCCCTAGATGGTCCTCGACCTCATTTCTTTGTGGTAGAAGCTCCTGCGCAAACAATAATAACAGATGTTAGCACACCATATTAAGAAAACAATGTTTAGAAAATAAAGTATGCATCAAACATGTACTGCTAGCCTCAATGCCTGTAAGAGGCTATGACGTAGGTGCATCCAATGACACAGCCCTAACATGTGCACTCGATGATGCACTCCTAGTAGGTGCATCAGATGATGCAACCCTACTAGCTATTGTGCTGGCTCGGCGACCTGGTCCCATGTATATACGACACCTAAAATAAGGAAATATATAAGTTATATTGACAATATCCAAGTATGAACTTTATATATAAGTCATAATTTATTAATTACCATGAAAATATCTTAATAATTCATCTACATATCTGACTCTTCATCAGAATCAAAATGGGAATGCACATCATCATCTTCTTTTGAATCAACATACTCCACTTGCGCCTCATCATTGTCATCACATATGAAATCATCAATGTTATTGTCTTCTCTTCTTCCCCAATGGACAATCCGATCTCGAGGAATGATTTATGGATCAAGATCAATCCTATGAAGTTGACCTATTTCATTATCTTCAAATACTACAGGAGCAACCTCTGTTCATTCGTCTTGTTGGAATGCATCACTTGGAACATATGATGATTCGTTTTCACTAACCCCTATATCTTCTAACTTAGGAACATCCCATATTCCTCGATGATGTATGTGTTGCACAACTTGCCAATCCCTACCCAATTTTGTATCATTAACATAAAATACTTGTTTCACCTGATCAGGTAGGACAAAAGGGTCATTTTGATACCATCAAATTTTTACATTAATGCTTGTAAAATGAGCATTAGTCTGAATTGTTTTCCCACTACCAAGGTTGAACCATTCACATTGGAACAAAAAACTACTATGGCCAAATATGTAACTCATCTCCCACACCTTATTTAAGTATCCGTAGAAGTTAATTGTTTTGTTATTATGTTCTCCTTCTACAACTACCCCACTATATTGGCTTTGTCGACGATTATCACGCTCTTTAGTGTGGAAGCGAACATCATTGCATATTGCCCTAGAGTACAATTTTATTGTCACATCGGGACCGTTTGCTAGTGACCACAATTCATCAGTTACTTCATGTGACCCTTCGCCTCATAACTGATTCATCTACACACATGCATATGAAAGTTTTTATGGTTTTACAAACTAATGCAAATAATGCTTATAATCTAAATTTGTATAGCTTACACGTTTTGCAAACCACTTGGAAAGTTCTGCTTGGTGGCGATGAGTGATGTCACCATTTCTTTCCAACTCTAATATATTTTTGTGTTCCCTACGTATAAAACCATAAATTTGACATATAAAATATTTTAAACAATTACAAAGTACAATAAGAATGCTCACAAATATGTATATTTAACATACACATACTCTAGATACGGATATAGTTTGAGACTATTATGTAGGACAAACCAATTAGCCATCTCTCGTTCCTGTTGAGAGACCTCAGTTGCTCTTGTAATTCGCCCAAAAGGACGAACATGTTGGGTGAACACAACTAATCCATGCACATTTTCAACTCGATCTGCATTTCGGTCCTCGCGATTAAAAACTGTTTCGATACCAACAAGATACATCGAGCAAAAGGTAAGACATTCTTTGCCAATATAGGCCTCCACAATTGAACCTTCTGGACGAGCTCGATTACAAACATATCCTTTTAAAGTTCTGAGATACCTTCAATAAATTACAAAACATATAAGGAGATAATAACAAAACCAAATGCGAAGCTAATAACAATTTAAAATGTCACCTTTCCCTGGGTACATCCACCGATACTGCACTGGTTTAACAATCTTAGCTTTCCTTGGCAAGTGAACTGCTAAATGCACCATAACATCGAAGAATGCTGGTACAAATATCTTTTCTAACTTACAAAGAATAAGTATTATATTATCTTGTAGTGCATCCAAGCCTTTTACCACCAATGTCTTTGCACAGAGTTGTTGAAAACAATTTCCCAACTCAAATAAAGTGGTACAAATTTTCTTGTCCAAGTAACCACAAATTTCAAGTAGAATAAGTCGTTGCAGTAGAACATGACAATTATGGCTTTTCAGGCCTGATACCTTACCATCCTTCATGCTCACAGACCTCGACATATTTGCTGCATATCCATCTGGATACTTAACTGATTTCAAAAATTCACAGAACCCTTGTCTTTCTTTTGGAGACAAAGTGTACCACGCAGCTAGTTTTACATATGACTCTCCATTCTTTTGGAGGTGCAATTCTTTTATGATATTTAGGTCCTCCAAATCCAAACGAGCTTTATCTGTATCCTTATTCTTGCCATCAATACTCAACAACAAGTCAAGCAAACTATCACATATATTCTTCTCTATGTGCATGACATCAAGGTTGTGTCGAATCTTAAGCACATGCCAATATGGTAACTCAAAAAAAATGCTCTTCTTTGTCCAATTAAATTCCTCAGATGACCGCTTTCTTTTTTGATTGTTTGGATGTTTCTCGAATTGCAATTTTGGTAAACACTCCAATTGATCTAAAATCTCTTACCCCGATAACTCACAAGGTTTTAATTTTTTCTCATTTTTACCATTAAATAACTTACTTCATCGCTAGCTGTGATCTTGCGGCAAGTAACGACGATGGCCTATTTTGCTTCTTAATGGCTATGATAATGCATCAAAATTACAAATGGGGAATGCCTTGTAACCTTTTGTACTCCATCTAGATAGGTTACCATAAGGAGGAAAATCATTTATGGTCCACATCAGAGCTGCACGCATTTGAAATGTTTATTTGGTACATGCATCAAAAGTTACAACACCATCCCACAACTTTTTCAATTCATCAATTAACGGGCGCAAGTATATGTCAATCTCCTTCCTGGGTGCCTGTGGTCCTGGAATAAGCAATGTCATCATGAAGAATGGATCGCTTATACATTTTCAAGGAGGCATGTTGTAAGGCATCATGATCACAGGCCACATACTGTAAGAGTTGCTCATGCTCCCAAAAGGGTTAAAACCATCAGTGGCCAATCCAAGCCTAACATTACGAGCGTCCTGAGCAAAATCAGGATATTGCTTATCAAAGTCTTTCCATTCTTCAGAATCAACAGGATGCCTTGAATAATTCTCATCATCCACTCGTTTCTCTTGGTGCC